TATGGATGCAGCTTTGAAACCCGAAGTCTTGATGCCATATTCATTTTCAAGAGAAGAAGCTTTCTTCTGCCAAAAGAATTAAGTCCAAGTTTTTCAGTATCTATCTTTGCTGTAATGACTTTTAACTTTTAATATGTTAGCTGACACCTGCAGAGTTTGAGATGTTGCTGTTGTGTTTGTTCGGGTTTCCCACTTGTGAGTAACCTTTCTCTCTGTAGAATGATCCTATAAAATAAAGTCAGTCTTGACACTGCTGATGGACTCAGTGTCTGTTTGATATGGTGTAATATGTCATATGATTTTGCTCACACGGGACTGTGTTGACCTGATTTTGAAATGTGGTTATGGGGTTCTTGAATGTTTTGTTTTTGGGCCAGGTCAAATCTCTCTCTCCATCTATCTATCTATCTATCTATCTATCTATCTATCTATCTATCTATCTATCTATCTATCTATCTATCTATCTATCTATCTATCTATCTATCTATCTATCTATCTATCTATCTATACATCTATCTATACATCTATCTATACATATATATATGGGTTTTTTTATGTTTTTTTTTTATTCCCCTCTTTCATTGAGTCATTGTACTTAGTAGGATGGTGAGCCCCAGATTTGACTTTAGGTCAGTAAAGCTGGTCATATCAAGTGTGGAAACACACTTAAATAACCAAGCCTTGACAGCAACAAATCCCAGTTTCCTCAGCAGTAATGAATGAACGTGAATGACATGGATGGTCTTCCATGGCACTGGTCTGCTTCTGTTGAGCAGGAGCCATCATGTCGGGATGGCATCATGGCATAACACTCTTCCATTGCTCCTTTACAATAATGTGATAAACAACCTCTCGAAATGAGGTAAATGTGTCCTCTCCCGGTCCCTGCACCAGTGGCACAAAGGCGGCTGCCTCGGAAAACCAAAACTAACGTCTCTTCCCAAGGTTTGGTTAGAAATAACGAAGGCTGGAAGCAGTGAGGCGCAGTCTGTTGCGGTAGTTGTTTGTAAGTCCTTCTTTCATGCCTCTGGTTTCTTTAAACACGTACAAATCGAGGAGAGGCGGCTTCGCGCAGCTTATAAACGGGTTGAATGAGCGTCTGACAGTGACGCAGCAGTCTTTGCTCGTTACCTTAGACGCCCTCGGCTCAGGTTATTTCAGGACACGGTCAGAGACTGGAGGGTGACACAAACAGTCCGAAGACACTCTGGTCAGGACGACACTATTATCCTGCATTAAAAACTACAATTCTGCAGGTCTCTGTGAAACGAAAGTAAGAAAAGACGTAAACAGCAATAAAAGACTGCTCGAATGCATTTTCCAATAACCTAAAACTCACATTTACGCACATTTACTAACAGCCGAAACGTGTTCAATCGTAAAATTCTGAAGCTGAACATGAAGGAGGGTGCAGACAGGGTTGAAATGAACGAGCAGGACGCCGTGGTTTGTTTTATGTGACAAAAGTTAAATCCCTTTTCCCTATTCAGACATTTATGGCAGTTTTTTTCAACCTTTGTTTAACCAAGGTACTCTTTTATTCCTGGAAAAAATCATGAGGCAAACAAACAAGCAAAAATGTTAAACAATGATACTCTGTAGCCGCCTCTATTAACAACGTAATTATTCTTATCAAAGTATCTTGAATAGGAATGAAATAAACACAAAAATGTCTTTTGATCATATTTTATATTTCATCTTTCAAATTGCACTTAACATAT